GGAGGAGGAGGAGGAGGAGAAAGTGGGGGAAGAGAAGAGACGGATGGAGACAAGGATAGAGAGAAGAAACAACAAAACCGACAGCAAGCCAGAAATTGGAGGGTACTGTATATTTACCAGATGTCAGGGAGATGGAGAGAAAGGCTGAGCTGAAATGAGAGGATTTGGAGAGGAGGAAGATTCCCCACCCCAATCTTTCCGCCCCCCTCTGCCAACTATGGTAGTTCCTGGGCTACAGTGCCCTCTTCAGGCACTGCTGGGAAAAGCTAGAGAAATTACAAGCTCTAGAATTCCTGAGGTCTCTGACCGCTGGCATTTCCATACAAATCTGTACTGCACTTTCCACAAGTGACATCTGACATCTCCCCACTGCTGCAGGTCAGTAAGGGACAAACCTCCCCTTAGGTTTGTGAAATTAGATCTGGCAGGCTTGTTCTTAAGTCCAGCTAATAATTGACAGCTGGGGCCTGAACAAAAGATTTAGGACTCATAACTCCAAAGTCTTGTCCACCCCTCAGCTTGATTTGTTGCCTAAGACACAGGCATCCCAGCACAGAATAGCCGGCTCTTTTTTTCTCCCTAGGTTTCAGGGTCACTGACTTTATTCTCTACTTCTCTTCAGGCTTCTTACTGCTTTCAATTTTTAAAAATAGTAGCTGCTGAACCAAAATTCTATGACTGCCCCTGGGCAAGTGTGCTGGGACGGTGTGTTGGAAACATTTAAAACATCATTTATTCATTCCACACTTGTGGAATGCCAAGCCTTGCCCCAGGTGCCAGAAAACGTGACATGACAGTCATTCTGTGCCACACATAGCCAGAATCTGGGAGCACACGGTCCCCTGGGGGAGAAAAGAAGGAAAGGCATTAAACTAGACACAGTCTGCTTGGTGTGTGACTGAGTGCTGAGATGGGGCCTGGGAAGAAAAGAGCCAAGGCATTGAGAACCTCAGGGGGCCCAGAGAATCTGACTGAGAGGCACAGACACACAGAAAGGTGTGGCCAGATTTCAGAGGGTCTTAGGGGAGGAACTTTCTCCGATAGTGCTTATTATATTGGTAATTAATATCACATTGGATCTCCGGCATCCACATGACCAGCTGTGATTCCCATCTTGATGCCACGGAGCAGGCACACACTAAGTGTTACCCCCATTTGTCACATGGGGAAGCCAAGTTCCACTAGGCAAGTGGCTGAGCCAGCTCTGCTGACTTCCTGGCAGGGACAGGAACCGGCGCACTGCAGTTCTGAGGCTGCAGGTTATTTAATTGTTGCCTGCTGCTGTAGGAGCTCAGTGATTTACAAGGAGCTTTCTTGGCATTTCCTCTTTTGTTCTAACCCCATGAGAAAGGGAGTGATGGAAAGGGATCCTCAGTTTGCAAAGGAGGAAGCAGGAGCCCACTATCCACCCACCAAGCCACCCAACTTCCCTGGGGAGAGGCCCACCCAACCCCACCTGTGAGCCGAGGTCCTCTCCAGCCAATCATCAGAGCGGCCAAATGCCCTTGCCTGGGGCTGGCTCCCAAGTCACCTGAGTCCCTACCGTGAATATTCATTCTGAGTTAGTAAATGGGATCTTTTCACCTTTGGGCTCTAAACTGAATACTAGAGATATCTTTACAAGGTGTTCAAAGGCTTTCTTCCACCATAAAACTGTGACCTTATAGATTATTGGCAACAGGGAAAAAAAAGGAGTGGTGGAGTTCCTCAATTTATGAGAGTCACATCCAAACATCTGTAAATTCCCTTCTTTTTCTTTTCTTTTTTTTGAGACAGGGTCTCACTACGTAGTTGAGACTGACCTGGAACTCACTATGTAGCCCAGGTTGGTCTGGAACTCACAGCGATCCTCCTGCCTTTGCCTCCTGAGCGCTGGGATTACAGGTGTGCGCCATCACGCCTGGCTTAAATTCCCTTTTTGATTGTTGAAAATTAGCCAGGTGTGGGGGTGCACATCTGTAACCTCAGTATTCTTTTTTTTTCCCTGTCAAATTTATTGGTAAATTTAAAGCAAACAATACAGTTACATTCATCATTGAGATCTTGTACCTTTACATGATATGTCTTATCTCAGTACTCTTGAAGGTTGAGGCTAGAGAAATCACAAGTTCAAGACCAATGTGAGTAACTCGAGAAGATTTTATCTCAAAATAAAATAGGGGTTGAGGATGCAGCTCAGCACAATTGTCTCTGGGTTCTACCCCTAGTACCTTGAATAGTAATTAATCACTGTGTCGGTTGTGGTGATGTCTGCCTATAATCCTAGCTACTTGGCTGTGTCCTTTTGTGGGGGGTGGTACTGAGAATTGAACTTGGGACCTAGAGCTTGGGAGGCAGGTGGCAGCACCACTGAGTTAAATCCCCCCCAGCCCAAATCCTAGCTACTTGGGAGACTGAGGCAGGAGGATTGCTTTGTCCCAAAACATCAGGGTCAGCCTGGGCAACATAAGTAAGAGCACATCTCAAAAAAGGAAAGAAAAGAAAATCATGTAATTACACATGTAGAAAAAATCTTTACCTGTGTTGATTTAATCTCCCTCCCTTTGTAAAATGGAGAAAGCATGGGAAAGGTGCGGAAAGTACCTGGAAAGGTATGTGGGGTCCTGTTCTCTAGGGTGATTTCCCATTTTCCCAAATCCCAGTCTCCCAGACTCTGCAGGAGCAGCTCCCAAGTTTATCAAGTCTCCAGGTCTCTGCTCTGTCCTTGGCTCCCCCAAATGCAGAACCCAGTGGGCCACCCCCAACTTCCTGTCCTGCCTTGAGCTCCAATCCCCGCAACCTCCAGGCCAACTGCAAGCTGTGACCACCCAGCTCTATGGTGCCAGGGGGTCAGCAAAAGCAGCCACCAGAGGACTTATTGCCCTACCAGGAGGGGCTGGAGATCAATCACTGCTGCTGCTGCTCCTCCCTGGGTTAACCGTCTCCAGGCCCTGTCCCCTCTGCTCACTACTCTGATGATCTGGCCTGGTGGAGAGCTGCATAAAGGCTTGGGATGGGACCCAAGGAGGCCCAGGGCTCTCTCTCCTCAGATGGGACCCTTGCATCTCACTCTCTCATGCTGAGCTACATTCCCAGCCCTTAAAAAAAAATGTTTGTTTTTTTTAACTTTGAGACAAGCTTTCACTAATTTGTCCAGTCTGGTTTGAAATTTGGGATACTCCTGCCTCAGCTTCCTGAGTAGCTAGGATTACAGGTGTAATCCCAGCTTGCAAAGGACCTTTCTGACTTTCCTCCTAGACACTGTGCAAAGCTGTGCTGGTCCCTAGCAGACAGCTCAGAATAATGGCCAGAGAAAGGCCGGCACCTAGAGCCTAGAGTGGGGGTGGAGTCGGGCTGCCAAGGCAGAGGGAATGAAATGGAAGGTTTGGGAACACTGGCAAGTGGTGGGGTCAGGAAATCTGGACCCCAGACAGTTCAGCACACTGCCCAGACCCCACCCTCCCATCCCATGAGCTGTGTGTGTGAAGAAGGGATCAGGGCTGTTATTTTGTTTTGGGTGCTGGGAATCACACCCAGGACCTTGAGCACGTGCTGTACCCCTGAGCCACGGCCCCACTGTCAATGGGTTTTTAAAAAGCAGCAAAACCACACTTCCGGCTGAGGCTTTATGTAGAACTGCCATTTATGGAGTTCTTACAAATGGGGCTGAACCAGGGGTGGTGGCCCAAGCCTGTAGTCCCAGTACTCTGGGAGGCTGAAGCAGCAGGGTTCAGGTTCAAATCCAGCCTGGGTAACCTAACCACTTAGTAAATCCTGCCTCTAGGTAAAAAAATTAAAAAGAGTGAGGATGTAGCTCCATGCAAAGGCTCTGGGTTCATTCCCCATCCTCACTCTACGCACGTCCCTCTAGTCTGGCCTCTCTGCTTCTCCCTATGTGCTCAACAAGGAAACATGTTCTGAGACATGCATCATTGGGCAGTTTTGTCATTAGAACATCGCACAGTGCACTTACACAATTCTAGATGCTGTAGTCAGCCACTGCAGGTGGCTTCCTGTGTCATCATGAGACACGGTAAACACAGGTTGGCTGGAGCTGGAGCTGGAGCTGGAATCATACTGCAGACTGACCGGAAAGTGTTTTCATGTTTGTTTGTTTGCTCTACTGGGAATGGAACCCAGGGCCTCCTGTGCTACATATACACAATTGGCAGTGTGCAGGTTCATTTCCACCAGGACTGCCACAAGCGTGTGAGTAACATGTGGTGCTGAGACAGTAGGACATTAGGATGGGTATGATGTCACTAGGTCATAGGAAATTTCCCAATGTGTTACAATCTTTTGGGATGATCATCATATAGGCAGATGATGGGAGGCACGGCTGTATATGTATTATACACACATGTCAGGCGTAATGGTGCACACCTGTAATCCCAGCACTCAGGAGGCTGAGACAGGAGGATTGTCATGAGTTTGAAGCCAACCTGAGCTACATAGACCCTGTCTCAAAAAAAACAAAAAAAGCTCAGTGGTTCTGCCACCTGCCTGGCAGGTGAAAGGTCCTGAGTTCAATCCCTGGTACTCCCCAAAAAAACCCAAATAAATAAAATAAACACACATATGCCCCATGCTTATTGGGGACTTTACATAAATGGGACCACACTGTACATACTGTTTTCCTGTGACTCACCTCTTCCACTGACTAATATGTCTAGGTGTTTTTTCTACCATCACATTTTATAGATGTACCTGCAATGTTTTATTCCTACTTTTTAATCAAGAATAGACCTTAATAAACAGTATTATATTACCAACTAATAATGTCAAGTAATGCTTTTTAAAAGTCATTTCTGAACTGTAGTGAAATATACTTTACTTAACATTTAGGGGTCGGGGTTGTAGCTCAGTGGCACTGTGTCTGCCTGCACAGCAAGCACAAGGTCCTGAATTCGATCCCTGGTACTGGGGGGAAAAACACTTAGAACTTAACCAGTTCAGTTGTCTTAGGGACTCTCAAGTTGCTCAGTAACCATCACCACCATGCATCTCCTGAGGCAGAGGCAGGAGGTCTGCAAATCTCCAGAACTTACTTAACTTCCCTTCCCTTTTCCTTTCCCTCTTTCTTTCCTTCAATTTCCCCCCTTCTTCTTTTTTCCTTCCTTCTTTTCTCTTCCCTCCCTCCCTTTTTTCTTTCTTTCTTTTTGTTTTTGGAGCTGAGGGGTCACACCCAGGTTCTCTGGCAAGCCAAGCACACCCTCTGTCACTGAGTTATACTCCTAAACTTCAGAACTCTTCCATCTTGCAAAACAGTCTCTCTACTGTGTTAAACAACACCATCTCATCCACCCCACCCCTGGCTCCTGGCAACTACTATTTTTGGTGGGAGGAAGCACTGGGAACTGAATCCAGGGCCTTTGCACTGAGCTACATACTCAGCCCCCACCTCCACTTTTTTAAAAATTTTGAGACATCTCACCAAGTTGCCCAGGCTGGGCTTGAACTTGAGATCCTCCTTGTCGCGAACCGGCGACGCAGAGCACTGTCCCGCAGTGCCTCAAACCTGAAAGAGCAGCGGGGTGGAGATGGGGCAGAGAGAAAGGAAGGACGCCAAGACAAGAGTCTGATCAAGGCGACGTTTATTGCAGGCAGGCATCAGCCTTTTAAAGGAAAAGACCGAACTATTATGGGCTAGGATTACCATAGTAACCTCAATACCTGCTCCTATAGATAACATCAGATCTTTAACATAACAAAATGGAGTTAACAACACCTGACTCCTACAGATCTTTGGCTGTCTGGGTTTCTCCCGTGCAGGGTAAAACAAGTTTAACATGTGCAGTCCTTAAAAAGGAACAAATGTTGTCTTTCAAAAAGCCAGTGGGCTATGGCTGGCTTCCCACATATCCCCCTTTTTATTATATTTAGAGCAGGGACAGTATCCCAGGCCAGCATTCTACCACTGAGCGACACCCCTAGCCCACCCTTCCTTTTGAAGGCTAATACTAGTGGATTGTGTGTGCATATATGTCTGCGTGTGTGTTACTCATTCACCAGCTGGTTGGCCCCTGGATTTCTTCCACCTCTTGGCTGTTAGGACTCAAAGCACACATATACAAACACCTGTTTCACATCTTGCCTTCAATTTTTTTTTTTTTTTTTTTGGTACCGGGGATAAAACTCGGGTCCTTGAGCTTGCAAGGCAGGCGGCAGAACCACTGAACTAAATTCCCAGCCCCTCAATCTTTTGGACACATACCCAGAAGCAGAATGCTGGGTTGTACAGTGTGACAGCTAATCTTGGTTGTCAACCTAGTTAGTTTGAGAGATGCCTGGGAGGTTGGTAAAGTGGGGGTGTCTGGGTGGGTCACGGGGGTGACCTTGGGGACTATATCTGGTCCCTGCCCTCTTCCTCTCTGGCTCCTCCCCTCCTCTCTGCTTCCCAGCTTTCCTCCACCCTGCCCTTGGGCCATGATGTTTCTACCTTGGAGCCAGCCCACCATGGACTGAACTCCAAAACCGTGAATCCAAATAAGTCCTTTCTTCCTTGAAGTTTTGTGTCAGTATTTCGTTTCAGCAACACAAAAGCTAACTAATATATCTGATAATTCTAGTTTTAATTTCTTGAGGCGCACTTGTATTATAATTCTTACTGCAGACTAACCACATATCTACTGACAAACATTAAAGTCCCCTCAATTCTACAATTAATACTTTTAAGGTAGGTACATATTTACCAAATGAGCATGTGCCTCTGTGGGAAGATTCCTAGAAAGGTAATGTTGGGTCAACAATGTACACATTTGTCCGGTGTGTTAACGTGTGCCTGTAGTCCCAGCTACTTGGGAGGCTGGAGCAGGAGGACTGTTTGATCTCAGGAGTCCAGGGACAGTCTGAACAGCATAGTGACACCACATCTCAAAAAAAGAATGAAGAAGAAGAACTAAAATATGCACATTAGAAATTTAATAGCCATTGTCAAGTCATCTTTTTTCTTTTTTTTTGTTTACAGATCTTTATTATTTCTTGATTTTCTAATTATTATCACATGAATAAATAATCAGAGCTTTAAAAAAAACCTAGGTAACAGCAGGGCATGGTGGTGCATGCCTATAGGCCCAGTGCTTAGGTGGCTGAGGCAGGAGAAGTATTGCAAATTCTAGGCCAGCCTGGGTTCCATAGTGAATTCAAGGCCAGCATGAACTACACAGAGACATCCTGTCTCAAAACCAAAAAAAAAAAAAAAAAAAAAAAAAAAAAAAAAAAAAAAAAAAAAAAAAAAAAAACAAAAGAAAAAAAGAAAGAAAAAGAAAAAGAAAAACATGTCACAGGGTCTAATAGCCTTCCAATGTACGTTTTTGTTTTTTGTTTTTTTTTTTTTTGTACTGGGGATTGAACTCAGGACCTTGAGTTTAGGTTAGTGCCAAGGAGCTAAATCCCTGGCCCTCAACATACTTTTTTTTTTTGTACCGGGATCGAACTCGGGACCTTGCATGTGCAAGGCAGATGGTAGAACCACTGAGCTAAATCCCCAGCCCTCAGCATACTTTTTTTGAGACAGATTCTGGTCATGCGGCCCAGGCTGGCCTCAAGTTTCTCATCTTCCTGCCTCAGCTTTCACAGCAGCTGAAACAACATGCACACACCACCTCTCTCAGCATACAGCATACATTTTTCTTGTTTTTTTTCCTCCCCTCCCTCCCTCCCTTCCTTCCTACAGTATTGAGGATTGAACCTAGGGCCTCCACACAGAGCTACATCCCCAGTCCTTTTCTTACTTTTTATTTTGGTACAAGGTCTTACTTATTCTGTAAGCTGTCAAATTGTCCAGGCTGAACTCGAATTTGCCATCCTCCTGCCTCAGCCTCCCAGAGGGTCCAACATACATTTTTAGCATTAGAGTCCTTGACTATCTCTATCTTCATGCTGCCCAACTTTTTTTTTTTTTTTTTGGTACCTGGGATTGAGCTCAGGTCCTTGTGATTGTGAGGCAGGCAGTGGAACCATTGAGCTAAATCTCCGGCCCTGTCCAACTCTTTTTTTTTTTTTTGAGACAGGGTCTCACTACATAGTTGAGACTGACCTGGAACTCACTATGTAGCCCAGGCTGGTCCCCACTGACGGGACCACTGTCCCCATAGAAAAGCCCACTGTCACCACTGAGGAAAACACTCTCCCTATAGAAACCCCCCCCCACTGAAGGACCTGATGTCCCCATAGAAAAATCTATTGCCCCCACTGTAGAGATGAACTTCTCTGCTGAAGAGACCACTGTCCCCATCGAAGAGCCCCCCGTCATCCCCACAGAAAAGCCCCTTAAAGAGTGTGCACCCCCTTGCCTTAGCTCCGCTCTGCTGCCCTTGGGGCCAACAGCCATGATGACGCCTTCAGATGCTCCAACTGCCTCCATGGTCAGTGTCATCCCAGCCACCACGACAAACCCTATACCCACCACAGGTAGGAGAGATGGGTGTTGGGCACAGGGCTGAGAGACGGGAAAGGCTCTCGTAGTAGGAATCCTCTCACAGTGAGCCAGGCCTCACCTGAACTGGAGGCAGCAGGGCAGGAGAGCGTGATGGTGGGAGCCAAGCACAGCTGCTCCCCGCCATCCCTGTCTTTTCTTCCCGCACTGGAGATTGAACCTAGGGGCTTCATGCTCAGCTGCAACCCCAGCCCTTTTTTATTTTTTTATTTTGAGACAGTCTCTTACTAAGTCACTAAGTTGGCAGGGCTGGGCCTCAAATGTGTGAGCCTCCTGCCTTAGCCTGTCAGAGTACTGGGATCACGAGTGTGTGCCACTATGTCTGGGCCATCATCACTGTCTTTTTTTTTTTTTTGTACCGGTGATCAAACTCGGGACCTTGCGATTGCAAGGCAGGCAGCAGAACCACTGAGCTAAATCTCCGGCCCTATCCATCATCGCTTTCTAATTCCACATATTTTCACCATCCCCAAAGCAAATCTCTTCTCCTTCAGCAGTCACTATATTTCTCCATCTTCCCAGGCCTTGGTGACCCTAATCTTTCTGTACCCTGGGTTTGCTTGCCCTGCATGCTTCCTGCACATATGACATGTGAGCCTTTGTGCCAGGGTCTATCACTGAGATGATGTCCTCAGAACCATGCTGTAACTGCGTAGCCACGTCAGAACCTCATCCTCTCTATGGTGGGCCACATGTGCCTCCTTCTTAGGGAAGAACTGGGGTTCAGGGCTGGGGCAAAGACAGGAAGGCTCCTGGGAGCAGCTTGGGAGTGGAGGCTTAATGGAGACTGTGCCTTCTCCTCAGCGAGCTGCCCCTCAAATGCCCACTATGAACCCTGTGGGTGCCCAGTGTCCTGTGAGAGCCCCAGGCCCAGTTGTGGGCCACTCTGCCAGCAGGGCTGCATCTGCAATCCTGGCTTTCTTCTCAGTGGCAGCCAGTGCATCAATGCCTCATCCTGCAGCTGCATCTATGGTGGTAAGAGCTACAAGGTAAGTGTGCCAGGGTGCCACCACTCCTGAAGGAGCTGCGGTGGGACGCCCGGGTCCTGGGTTCACCCGCTTCCTGGGTGAGATGAACTTGGACTGTCCTGAAGTTTAGTTCCAGGCTGTGCTTAGTCAGGGTCTTGCTGTGTGGTTTAGGCTGATCTTATATAGCCCAGGTGATCCTCCTACCTCAGTTGCCCGAGTGCTGGGATTACAGGTACTGTGCCTGGCTCAGCGTGTGTTTTTTGATGACCCTCTTTGCTCACACTGTGAATCTTGGTTAAACTTTCACTTTGGGCCATTGTCAATCTAGGCTGTGCCAAAGAGCCACCCATGGTCCTGTGCTAAATGTTATTCCTTCAATTCAGGGCTGGGAATGTAACTTCATGGTAGAGCACTTAGCTGTCACAAGCAAGGCCCTGGGTTCTATCCCTAGCACACAAAACAAAACAAAACAAAAAGCTGGACATGGTGGCACATGGCTGTAATCCACGCTTTCTGGGAGGCTGAGCAAGGATGGCAAATTTGAACCTAGTCTGGGTAACTTTACTGAGACCCTGTTGCAAAATAAAAAATAAAAAAGGCCTGGGGCCAGGCATGTTAGCACATGCCTGTAATCCCAGCACTCAGGAGGATGAAGCAGGAGGATTGCCAAGAGTTTGAGGCTGTCCTGGGCTACGTAGTTCAAGGCCAGCCTGAACTACATAGAAAGACTCTGTCTCAAATCACTAAAAGGGGTGAAAGGCTGGAGATGTAGGTCAATGGAAAGGGCTCAGTGCCTAGGATGGGAAAAGTACTGATGAGATAGTTTACATTTGTGTCCTCACCACTAAATCTTCAAAATCCAATGTATATTTTACTCATTGAGCATTTGTCATTTGGACAGGCCACATTTCAAAACCTTAGCAGCCCCCCATGGACTGGCTGGTGACTGGTGGCTGGTAGCCAGTGTAGTGGACAGATCTATAGCCGGGCAGACCTGAGCTTGTATCTGGGCTGCAGCATCCATTTGCCAGGCGGCCTTGGGCAAGTTACTCTACCTCACTGGGAAATAAGCCTAAGGCCTTCATGCTGAGCTATAGCCCCACCCTCTCTTTTGATTTTTTTATTTTGTGGCTGAGTGGCTGAGCTGCCCAGGCTGGCCTTGAATTTTTTATTCTCCTGCCTCAGCCTTCCAGAGGGCTGGGGTTATAGGCATGTGCCACCACACTTGGCTTTTTACCTCTTTAACTCCATTCCTGTATCTATAAAAGTGTGCACAGTAAGATTTTCTGCCTCAAGTAAGATTGCCGTCTGGGTGAAATTAGATCCTAACACAGTGCTAATTACTTAACATTCATTATTATCATTAATGATTTGTGATAACGATAATATACAACCGGTTAATTAAAAGTGCATTCAGCTACTCATTAGTGTCCAGAGCCGCCTCTCAGCTGCAGGTGTCTGTCCTGCTCTCTGGTGGCAGAGCTTCTGGTGATCTCCCGAGGGACCAGTTCCTCCCCAGCCCCACTGACCCGCCCTCCTGGGGTGGAGGAGTCACTGCTACGATCAGTTCAGTGTGGCCTGGGCAGAGAGCAACACAATTGCAGCATCAGGGCTCCCTCCCTTCCGCCTGGGGAGGTGGAATTAACTTCCCTATCCGTCAGTGTGTTCAATAAACCTTTGTTGTGTAGCACTTCTGCCTTCCTGGCAATAGTCTCCTCATAGATAGGGTAGGAATCTTGCATTCCTAATGCTCTCAGCCGGAATTTTTTGGGGAGTGCATGTCTATAATCTCAGCAGTCTAGGAGGCTGAGGCAGAAAGACTGATAGTTTGAGCCCAGCTTGGGGAATTTGGTGACATATCAAAACCCTGCCCCCACCAAAAAGCCAGGCCTAGTGTACACACCTGTAATCCCAGTACTTGGGAAGCTGAAGCAGAAGGATCATCATAGTTTTAAGGCCAGTGTCTACCTAATGAGTTCAAGACCAGCTTAGACTACATAGCAAGAATGTCTAAAGAAGAAAAAAGAAAAAAAAAAAAAAAGAAAAGGTGGAGTGGGGGGATCTGGGGATGTAGCCCAGTATAAAAGTCCTGGGTTCAGTTCCTAGTACTGCAAATCAGTAATACAAAAAAGAAAATGTCTAAAGAAAAAAAAAAAAAAAAAAAAAAAAAGAAAAGGTGGAGTGGGGGGATCTGGGGATGTAGCCCAGTATAAAAGTCCTGGGTTCAGTTCCTAGTACTGCAAATCAGTAAATACACAAGCACATGCTTACTTTCAGACTCAGAGGGCATGTTGGGTCTTCATAGACTTCCTCTTATTGAATGAGAGCTGTCTCTCCTGACATGCCCAGGTCAAGACAGAGAGTAAAGACGTAGTCCCCACCTGGATGTGTACAGTCAATTACAAAAATAAAAGAGTGCAGTTGTGGTAGGTCAGTCCTTGGGTGGTCCCCAGAGCAGAGGGTGAGGGAGGTCTGAGACACCTTCCCAAGACAGGTGCCCTTGAGTTGACCATTGCTGGTTGTTGGGGAATAAACTGGAAAAACATGTGGAGATAAGAGAGTAGCACCTGCAAATGTCCTGTGACAGTGGCACTGTCAGGTTGGTGGTGGGAAAAAGGCATGGGGGTGAGCTCAGGTGTGCATGGGACTCAGAGGATGAGGTGGAGGAGACTGGCTAGAAGGCCTGAGAGATACGGCTTTGTGACTCTGGATCCCTTGCTCCCAGCCTGGAGAGGAGTGGTTCAGCCCCAACTGTACAGAGCATTGCTGCTGCTGGATGGGCGGCCGGATGGAGTGCCAGCTCTCTCAGTGTGGGACACACACTGTGTGCCAGCTGAAGAATGGCCAGTACGGATGCCACCCATATGGTGAGTGCCTCCCTGTCTGCTATGCAGGGGTGCAACACCAGAATCTTGTGCCCTCCGTGGAGTGGAGGAGCTGCTGTGTCACCAGACAGGAGAGCTGGGCTGTGGGCCCAGCCTAGTGTGGCTGTGGAAGAAGCTTCTGGGTGCCCCTGTCTCCTTGGCAGGCTCTGCCACCTGCTTGGTGTACAGAGACCCTCATTATGTCACCTTTGACGAGAGGCACATTGGCTTCACGGGCAAATGCACGTATATCTTGGCCCAGTCCTGCCACAACTCCACAGGTAAGGCCTGCGGGTGCCAGCCACTGCCTGGGAGCAGGGAGTGCATTCAGAAGTGCCAGGCACAGGGAACTGTGGGTGGCAGGGCCTGGATGGGAGCAGAGGGCCATAAGAGGCCACAGTGAAGCAAGGTCCTCTATAAGGCAGAGGTTGCAATGTCACCCCAGAGACAAACTCTCAGGCCCAGGCCATTGAGGAAAATGCAGCATAATCTATCATTTGTCAGCCAAGCATGGTGGTGCATGCCTGTGAAGCAGCACTCTGGGAGGCTGAGGCAAGAGGATCTCAAATTTGAACCCCGCCTGGACTTAGGGAGAATTTATCTCAAAATAAAATAAAAATTAAAAAGGCCTGAGGATGCAGCTCAGTGTAAAGGCCTTGGGTTCAAGCCCCAGTACTGGGAAACCAAACAAACAAAAGCTCACTGAAGGAGTCCCTGGGCTTTCTTCCTCTCCCCACCCAGAGCCATTCTTCAGGGTGACAGCAAAGAATGAGGAACAGGGACAGGAAGGTGTGTCCTGCCTGAGCAAAGTCTACGTGACCCTGCTGGAGACCACCGTCAAGCTGCTCCGGGGCCGACAAACAATGGTGAGCCCCAGCCCCATCCTGCCTGTGCCCGAGGAGGTTGCCAGGCCAGGCCTGCCAGCCTGAGCTGGCTGAGGGACAGACTCACCTGGGGTGCTGTGGGGGACATTGTGCCTGCCAGCTGTGGATGTGGGTATCCTGAGTCCTCCTTGATCCCCAGATCAGTGTCTGCCCCTCTTCCTGCCCCTCCCTCTGCCAGGTTGAGGGCCATCGAGTCACCTTGCCAGCCGTGCCTGCTGAAGGTGTCTTCGTGGGTCCAAGCGGGCGATTTGTGGAACTGCAGACAGAATTCGGCCTGCGTGTGAGATGGGACGGCGAACAGCAGCTGTTTGTGACCGTGTCCAGGTGAGGAGTGGCCCTGCTGGGAAGCTGCCTTGCTGTGAGCCCTGCACCCCATCTAGACCCTTTCCTGCCCTCTAACCTGCCCTTCAGGGCACTAATGCTCAGTCATGTGGGGTCCTCAGGATGGGCAGGAAGCTTGGAGCTTCCTTGCGATAGGGAGGCAGACAGCAGGATGGACAGAGTGCCTTGGACCTGTGCTGAGTCGCTCATGGGCTCTGCCTCAGACCCATTTTTCAGGGAATGGACAGACTTTATCCAAACAGTGATCAGGATGTGCAAAAACCAGTTGGAGTGATTTAGGGCCAGTGGGGGGTGTTTTATGGCTGGGCGAACACAGGGTTGAGCAGAAGGGGCACAGAGACCATAGGGATGGCTCAGGGTAAGGGCCACAAGAGTCCTCATGTGCCCACTACCTAGCATGGAGCCCAACTCAGGAGTAGGCACCTTTCCCCCTTTTATTGTAGTACTGGGATTGACCCCAAGGCATTTGCACTGAGATACACCCCCAGGCCTCCTTTATATTTTTATTTTGAACTAAGTTGCCCATCCCGGATGGGCTTAAACTCGGGATCCTCCTGTCTCAGCCTCCCAGACTGCTGGGATTACAGGCGTGCACTGCCATGCCTGGTGGGAGTAGGCACCTCTTAATCTCCCTTGCACCCTCCTGCACTGGGGTCCCTTGGGAGACTCAGCATCTTCTCCTCCTCCACTCTGGCCCCACAGCACCTATGCAGGCAAACTCTGCAGTTTCTGTGGCAACTATGATGGGGACGGCAGCAATGACAACTTGAAGCCAGATGGTAACCCAGCACGGGATGATGAGGAGCTGGGGTACAGCTGGCAGGTGGCCGAGGATGAAGACCGGGAGTAAGTGAGGAGCCCTCATGGGGGGACCTGGTCCCCTTCTCCACCCTCCTGGCCTTTGCTCTTTCTGAGACCCACTACAGCCTACTGGGCAAACTGAGACAGGAGGATTGCTTGAGCCCACAACTTCAAGGCCAGTCTGAACAACACAGTGAGACCCTGTTTCAAAAAACAAAGAAACCACAACTGACTAGCAGTGCCCTTTTCCCTTTGCCTCCTTGGAGACTCCAGGTAGCTCCTCCTTCCAGACTCAGGGTTCCAGTGTCCTCTCAGCCTAGCTGCCTGAGTAGCTGCTGACTTGGAGTCTCCAGTGAGAAGCCAGCTTGATCATGATCACTGGGCTGTGTGCCTTCTAGGTGCCTGCCGAACCAGGCAGATCTCCAGTCCTGTAACGCAGCCTTGAAGAGTACTATATCGGGGCCCAGGTTCTGCGGCCACCTCGTGGACTCCCGAGGACCCTTTGAGTATGAAGGAGGGCAGGGGCTTGGGGCTCTCAGGGGACAGGAGACTGCACCTCTCCTGCTCACCCAGCCTCTTGCCCAGGGCCTGCCTGCTGCACCTGAAGGCCTCTCCCTTCTTCGACAACTGCATGTCAGACCTGTGTAGCTTCCAGGGGCTCCCTTCAGTGTTGTGTGCCCACCTGTCAGCCATGACCGCAGCCTGCCAGGATGCTGGCTACCCTGTGAAGCCCTGGAGGATACCCAGTTCTGCCGCGAGTTGGATCCGGAAGCAGGGGCGATAAGGGACCTTTCTTTTAGATGCAGACAGGGCATAAAAAATGGGCTTAATGGGGATGGGGGTGTGGCTTACAGGGTGTACATTGAACCTGCATGAGGTCCAGCATCAAATAATACAGTTGGTGTTAAAGCCAGGTGAGGTGGTGCACATGTTGAATTCTCCCACACACACTTTCACAGGAGGACAGGATGGTGGGCAGAGTTGGAAACGTCCCTGAGAAAATCACACAGTCACTTGTAAACCCAAAAAGCTTGCATTCATTCGTGTATTATATTTTTACTTATTTTTGTAGTTTTGGGGATTAAACCCAGGGTCTTTACACTAAGCTACATCCCCCACACTCTTTTTTTATTTTTTATTTTGAGACAGGATCTTGGTAGGTCCTTAAATTGCCCAGGCTAGGCTTGAATTTGCAATCCTCCTGCCTCAGCCTCCCAAAGTGCTGGGATTACAGGTGCACACCACCCCTCCCAGCTTTGTTCTCACCTTTCTTCCCGTCCCACCTGTCTCCTTTCCCGCCTCCAGCCCTGGCCTGCCCACCCAATAGCAGGTATTCCCTGTGTACCAGTGCATGCCCGGACACCTGCCATTCAGCCTTCTCCAACAAGCCCTGCCCAGGAAGCTGTGTGGAAGCCTGTGAATGCAACCCGGGCTTTGTCCTCAGCGGCCTTGAGTGTGTCCCGTGGGCCCAGTGCGGGTGCCTCAGCCCCTCAGGGAGCTACTTCAAGGTGAGTGGCTGGGGCGACTCTCTTAGCCCTGCAGCCAGAAAGGACTTGCTTCTGAGGCCTGGGCCTGGGGCCTGTACTTTCTGCACCAGGAAATGAGGCAGGAGGGAGAAGGCAGGAAAAGCCAGGCAATTTAGGGCCAGGCTCTGACTTTTCCCTCTCTCCTTTCTCCCCCACCCTCCCGCCCCTTCGCGGTGCCGGAGCTGGAGCCCAGGGCCTTCTCATTCTCTGGATTCTTTACCAACCCCTTTCATGTGCCCTGTGCTGCCTCCCAGCCACCTCTACCCACTGGAATCTGTCACTTCCCTTGGGGCCCTGTTGAAATGCTTCCTCTTCCTTGGATCCTTCCTGATGAACCAAATCAGAAAATGTCTCAAGAAGCTGGGTGTGGTGATGCATGCCAACAATCCCAGCTCTCTGGGACGCAGAGGCAGGAGAATTGCAAATTGAAGATCAGCCTGGGCAGATTAGGCAGTTAGCAAGACTTTGTCTCAAAATAAAAATAACAAAGGGCTGGGATGAGGCTCATTGAAAGGGCCCTGGATTCAATATCAGAACCACAAAAGGAAGGAAGGACAGCAGGGAGAATTTCTAGGAGAGAGATATTTTCCATCTAGTTCATTATACAGACAGATAAACATCAGCCAAAATAGTAAATGAACAAAGAAATGACCTGGAGAATGAGTCAGTGAGCCTGTGCTGGACAGCAGATTTACAGTGGACTATGTCTCCCTGGGAAAAGCTGCTTTCCTTTCTTCTCTCAGCTGGGGGAGAGGTGGTACAAGCCAGGCTGCAGAGAATTCTGTGTCTGCCAAAGCAAGAACCACATTCACTGCCAGCCCTGGAGGTGTCGGGCCCAGGAGGCCTGTGGCCACCAGAATGGCCAGTATGGCTGCTACACCCGAGGTGAGTGGTCAAACGGAAGGTGATCGAGGGCCCTTTCAGTATGGGGAAGGCCCCGCTCCAAGCAGCTTCCCCAGGGGCTCTGTGTTAAGTTAGCTTTCCGAGATGATAACAAATGCCTGAGATTCATCAGTTTATAAAGAGAAAAGGTTTACTTTGGCTTACAGTTCTGGTGGTTTCAGACAATTTAAAGGAGGGGAAGTTTGTTTTGACTCACATTTTTAGCCCATGGCCAGCCAGCTCCAAGGCAGAAAACAGCATGGCAGAGGGCCTCGCCGAGGAAAACTGCTCACCTCAGGGCAGCCAGGAAGCGGAGAGAAGGGAGGAGCCCAGGAGGAAGATGAACCCTTCTTCCAGCTGTCCCCCCTCAACCCGGTGACCACCTCTTCAGGCCAGACCCCAACTCCTAATAGCAAGTCCCCCTGTGATTCGGTCACCTTCCACAAGCCCTACCTATGAGCCCATGAGGTCTTGGGGGACATTTTTGTTTTATCTAAACCATAAAGGTGGAGAACACATGACAAAGATACTCACTTCATGGCTGGGATATGAAGGAGAGAAAGAAAGACCAGGGCACAGTCCCTCCATCGACAGACAGGCTCCCAGTGACCGAGACCTCCGGAGCAGCATCTTCAAGGCCTCAAAGAGAGGCTCTGGGTGGAGCAGCCCCCTTCCTTGACATCCCCAAGCTAAGCCAACCATGTTTTCTAGGGAAACACCATATCTGGGATGGCCCATGGGTACCATCCAACATAGGCTCACCACCTGGCAGCCCTGGGTCAGGGCTTCTGGGATGCAGGGCGCTGAGACTCTGAAGCCTGTCCCCTCCTCCCCAGGTTCTGCCACCTGCACTGCCTTGGGCGACCCCCACTACCTGACATTCGATGGAGCCATGCATCACTTCCTGGGCACCTGTATCTACACCCTGAGCCAGCCTTGCTGGTCCCAGTACCCGGAGAACCACTTTGTTGTGAGTGCCACCAATGAGATCCTCAATGGGGACTTGCAGGCCTCCTATGTCAAAGCCGTTCACGTGCAGGTCTTCGACCTCAAGATTTCGCTGATCAAAGGCCACAGGGTCATGGTGCGTGCCCCTCTCCACCTCCCAGACCACATGCTGCCCACCACATTTCCTATATAAACAGCTGTCAGCCTCTTAGAGCCCCTGGGGATACAATGCATCCCTCTTCCTCTATGAAACACCTGCCACCCCTCCTGCCCCAGGATTTGTTTGTTTCTGTAGTCCTGGGGATAGAACCAAAGCCTTGGCACCGAGCTACCTCTCCATCCCATATTCTGAGACAGTCTTTCTAAATTGCCCAGTCTAAGATCAACTTGGGATCCTCCTGCCTCAGCCTTCTATAGTACTGGAATTACAGGCATGCACAGCACACCCACCCTACCCCAGATTTCTGCCCATATTTGGTCTGTGTCCCAAGTGCCTGACTCTTCCCCTTGTCCCCCCCTCCCCCACCTGTACAGTTGAATGGCCTTCAGGTGAACCTACCTGTTTGGCTGTCGAAAGGCCAGGTGACCATTCAGCCCAGTGGCTCCTTTATCCTACTCTACACGAACTCTGGGCTTCAGGTTCGCTACGATGGGAACCACCTTGTGGAAGTGACGGTGCCCTCCTCCTATGCTGGCCAGCTCTGCAGGCTCTGCGGTGAGCTCCCAGAGCCCCCAGAGCCCCCTTGGGAAAAGCAGGGACAAGGGGCACATGAGACTGGGTCCTGTCTCCCACCCCGTCTCTACTGGTTGTTCTAACTACTTGTCTACTGATGAATCAGTTGGGGACACTGGGCATGAGGGTAGGTGCTCAGGGAAGCCCGAGATGCAGGGTTTGGTGGTGCTGGCCTGTCAATCCCAGCACCCGGGGAGGCTGAGACAGAAGGAACGAAAGTTGGAGCCCAGCTTAGGTAACTTAGTGACTTAGCGAGACCCTGCCTCATAATAAAAATAAAGGGCTGGGGATGTAGCTCACTGTGAAGGCCCTGAGCTCAATCCCCTACTACTGAAAAAGAAAAAAAGGAAAGCTCAAGATGACAAAGAAAGCATCAGTCTTAATGCGCAGATTGGACATTAGTGAGAAGCTCCTCTTCCAGACAGGGAGGTGTTGGCCCTGAGCTGGGTATACCAATGGCACCTTTGTCACCTCTGTCCACTGCCCGCTCCTGCAGGGAACTACAACAACAATAGCATGGATGACAATCTGCGCCCAGATAGGAAGCCCGCAGGCAGCTCCTCTCAGCTGGTAGCCTCCTGGCGGTCCTCAGAGGGATCCGAGCCTGGGTGAGCTGGGGACCTGGGTAGGAGCTTGACCAGAGGCAGAGCCTCAGGAATGGCATAGATGTGTCCCCCAAATCCCTGCTCCCTCTGTGCTGTACCCCCCACTGCCAGGAAAATGGCCAGGTGTCTCCTCTTCATTCTGTCTGAGGTTGGGAATTTGTGATTGTGTGATTTTCATTTTGCTTTGCTCTCTCTCTCTTTCTTTTTTAAAATTTATTTTGTGGTAGTGGGGATTGAACCTAAGACCTTCACACTGAGCGAAACCAGCCTTTTTTTTTTTTGTGAGAGGGGTCTCACTAAGTCACTTAAATTGCCCAAGTAAGGTTCAGACTTGTGATCTTCCTGCCTCGGCCTCCCAGGGTGCTAGGATTTCAGGCATGTGCCACCACACCAGGTGCTGGCTGAATTTTAAAAAGCCTATTCGCCTATGCTTACTGACCCCATTGGCGGGCCCACTCAAGAAGTCTTTCTGACAGCTGGCCTTACTCCTTCCTGCTGTACCCGCTAGCCTTCCTGCTTGAGGGCACTGTTTCTGTCGCTTCTTTTGCACCCCTACAGTTTGGGGGACGGTTCCCCAGCTTCAGGTTCTCTCCTTTCCTCCCAGCTGCTTCCTGGGAGCTGAGCCCTCCAGCTGCCCAGAGGACAACATGGCGGACATGTGGAGTAAGGACTGTGAGATCTTGATGAACCCTCTAGGTGAGACACAGCCCCACTGCCCAGACTTGATCCTCCTCCCTGGGCACTGAAGGTGGTGGTACATACCTCTAGTCCCAGCTACTCGGGAGGCTGAGGCAGGAGAGCCACACAGTTGAGCCTAGCCTAGGCAACTAGCAAGACCCTGTTACAAAATAAAACATAAAGTACTGGAGATGTAATTCACTCTAGAGCATTTACCTAGAGAGCAAGAGGCCCTCGATTCAATCCCCAGCATTGCAAGTCAATCAGCCACTAAACAAATCCATATGTCTTCTGGTGGAAGTGGATGTCAAATTCACCACACGGAAGCTCCAGGGCTCACCCTTCTCCCTCCACATCCTCCACAGCCCTTCTCCAACTGCCACCATCTGGTGCACCCACAGGCCAGCTTCGCCAGCTGTGTGCAGGGCCAGTGTGGGACCAAGGGCGATGCCCTAGCCCTGTGCGGCTCCCTGCAGGCCTACGCATCCCTGTGTGCCCTGGCTGGCCAGGCTCCTGCCTGGCGCAACAGCACCTTCTGCCGTGAGTGAACCAGGGAGCCCCAGAACCCCAGCCCCTTCTCCCCTCAGTCCTGCTCCTCTCTCCTCGGAGCCCCCACCTTCCACAGGGCCTTGCTCCTGGCTCCTGTAGCCTAGCCCCGTCCTCTGCTGTCTCTTGTACCTGGGCCTCTGCCCTCTGACTCTTATCTCATCAGAATGTCTGCTTTTAGCTGGGCATGGTGGTGCATGCCTGTAATCCCAGCACTGAAGGAGGCTGAGGCAGGAGGATCTCAAGTTCAAGCCCAGCCTGGGTAACTTAGAGAGACTCTGCCTCAAAATAAAAATAAAGGGGAGGGATGTAGCTCAGTGTGAAGGCCCTGGGTTCAATCCTCAGTACACGCTTTTACCTATTTACTGCCTCCTTCCACTTTTACCTGGGCCAGCTCTGTTCCATCCCTCTTAGCCCCAGAAACTTTTTTTTTAGTACCAGGGATGGAACTCAGGATATTGTGCTTTTGAGGCAGGCAGAGACACCAATGAGCTAAATCCCCGGTCCTTCCCCAGAAACTTTTTTAAATTATGACAAAATATATATATAACATAAAAGTTACCATAGTCACTTTTCACTTTTCTTCAAATATCAGATCTGACTTTTTTTTTTTTTTTTTTTTGGCAGTACTGGACCCTGAATCCAGGGCCTTTGCACTGAGCTACATTCCAGCCTCTTAAAATTTATTTTGTATTTTGAGGTAGAGTCTCGCTAAGTCACTAAGTTGTCCACGCTAGGCTGGAACTTGCAACCCTCTTGCCTCAGCCTTCCAGGATCACCATGCCTGGCCATGCTTCCTTTGTAAGGCTGAATAACAGTTCATTGCCTGGATAGACTGCATATGATGTCTGTTTCCCCATCAGCGGACATTCCCAGGAGCTCTCAAAGCTCCCAGAGTCAAAAGCTGGAATGCCATGCGTCCCTTCCTAACATGTGTTCCTTTTAGCTCCAAGGTGTCCACCCAACAGCCGCTACAGCCCCTGTGCCAGGCCCTGTCCGGCCACCTGCCTCAGCCTGAGCAGCCCCAAGGACTGCCCAGCAACGCTGCCCTGTACGGAGGGCTGCGAGTGCCAGAAAGGCCACGTCCTAAGCGGAACCTTCTGCGTGCCTCTCAGCCAGTGCGGCTGCATGGACCCCAAGGGCTTCTACCGCCCGGTGAGCGTCTAGCCGGTAGGGGGCGCCCTGCCCTCCTAGCTGCAAGTTTGGGGGTATGGGAAAGGTTAAGGCCAGACAGCCAGAGGGCTCAGAGCTTGTGAAGGGGTTGGTGCACGCCTGGGCTGGGGATGAGGTCCACAGCACAGGCAGAGATGGAGGAACCCATCAAAGCTGCCCGGGTTCCCGGAAGCTCTGCCCACTTCCGGCTTCTCAGGTCCTATGGGCCCTGCTGATCCCAGTGCCTCACAGGCTGGGGAGAGCTGGTACCCAGAAAGGACGTGCACCTCCCGCTGCACCTGCTTGGTCCACAACAACATCACCTGCCACCGCACCGCCTGCCAGGAGGACCAGGTGTGCTGGCCCCGCAATGGGCTGCTTGGCTGCTGGACCCCAGGTAGGAGCCCACTGTGCTGGGGGGCCCCACAGTGACCTCGTTCTCCTCTGTAGCATTCAGGAAAGTCACCTCAGGGTTCTCCCACTGCCCTAGCCATTTCTTTTGCCACATCAGATCTCTTGAAACGGGTGATTTATATAAAATGGATGTGTGTGCAGGCATGCAAGTGTGCAAGCGAGCACCTGGGTTCCTTGCACTCAGCTACATTCCTCCTCCTTTTATTTTGAGACAAGGTCTCACTAAGTTGCTAAATTGCCCGAGCTAGGTTCAAACTTCTGATCCTCCTGCCTAAGCCTCCCAGAGGGCTGGGATTACATGGCAGGATGGGGATGTCTCATGAGAGACCAAACTGACCTTCATATGGACCCAGCTTCCTGATAACTAGCCCACTCTCTTGACAACTCATGAGGCCATGAAGAGATAAATCATTTGAGAGGGCAGAATCCTCACTACTCTGTCACTCCTATGTTGGTCAGCTTTTGGTTGCTGTGACAAAATACTTGAGAATAGCAATTTAAAGGAAGAAAGGTTTGCTTGGGCTCATGGTTTCAGAGATTTCAGTCCATGGTCACCTCACTCCATTGCTTCTTGGCATTTGTGAGGCAGAGTCCCCATGGCAAAACTGTGTGGGGCCACAGAGCTGCTCACTGCATGGTGGCCAGGAAGGAGAGAGGGAAGAAGCCAGGTGTGATCTAAAAATACGGTAATTCGGGCTGGGGATTTATCTCAGTGGTGCTGCTGCTCACAAGTGCAAGGTCCCAAGTGTGATCCCTGGCACCAAAAAAAAAAAAAAAAAAAAAAAAAAGTTATTACAGTAAAAGACACATTGCCATGAATCTTCCTTAAAATCTTCCTTCTCCCTTCGAACACACTCACTCTGTCGTTCTTGTCACTTTTTGATGCAGTTCAGGAAGTCTTTCCAGAGTGTCTAGTTCTGCTGCCTCTGTGCCCCGGTGCATTGAAAACATTGACTTTTTATGGCCGTTTTGACTTGAGGGCGGGAACCTGAATCCTGTGGGTGAGGATATGCCGTCATGATTTTACAAGCCTGCAGTTCCATTGGATGGCACTGAGTGGCAGCATTCACTGTATTTTTGATCTCCGCTCATAAAGACAAAAGAGGACTTCCAGAACTGCTTCAGAAAGTGGCAAGAATGATGGGAGAAGTGTATTCAAAGCAAGGTGAAGGATTTTAAGGGGGATTCCTGGCAGTGTTTTTCACTATAATAAACTTTCAGCGTGTAAACATTCGCCATTTATTTTGGTCACCTGTTGCACACTTTTTACAGGAGCACCTCCAGTGTCCTCGTTCCTCCTGGGCCCCACCGCCTAATGGCCCACTCAGCTGGGAGTTTACGCAGTGATGAAGTTGGCACCCTGAGATCCACAGTCCCCTCTCCAGGCCTCACTGCTGCATTGGGGTTCAAGCCCTCAATCCATGAGTCCTTGGGAGACATTTTATATGTAAACCACAATGCACTCCAAAGGCTTCCCCTGGAAATCCCATTAACCATACCACTTTGAGTATTAAGTTTCTAACACAGGAAATGGGGGCAGGGAACCTCCAAACCACAACACACATGTTTCTCCCGTGGTGACCGTGAACATGTTGCGATGTCATTTACACCCCTGCCACAACCAGATGTTCCTCTTTCCCCATGCTGGCCTTTTCCAAGTAGGGAGAATGGAGGGCCCAATCTCACCAATGTGGCGACCCCTCAGCCACCTCTGTCCCCCCAGGTGCAGGCATCTGCAAGGCTTTGGGGGATTCCGAGTATATGGGCTTCGGTAGCAGTAGCCACCCTGTCCAGGACATGTGCCCTCATGTCCTGGTGAAGGTGTGTCACCCCAACATGGAGCTGCCTGCCTTCAAGGTAAGCGCCAGGAGTGATTGGTGGCACCAGGGCAGAACCAGAGCCTTAAAGCTCCACCAGGTCTACATCAACATCGCTGATGTCCAGGTCGTTCTGCAAGAGGGCCATCAAGTGCTGGTGAGCTGGGCATGGCAACAGGCCCTGGAGAGAGGAGTGAGTTCTGGGGAGAGGACTCTGGCCTTCCTCCTCACAGTTGCTACCCTCTCCTCCAGATTAACGGCACACCTGTCACCCTTCCTGCCACCTCCCAGATCACAGGTCTCAGCATCACTTCCAATGACATCTACACCATGGTCCACCTGCAGACTGGAGTGTAAGTCAAGTTTGCCAGCCCGCATTTCTTAGAGATCAAAGTCCCTGTGGCTTATGATGGGAAGGTAAATCTTGGGGTGGAGTAGGCAGCATCCCAATCTCCCCACAACCAGAGAGGTCCAGTTCACTTTTCGGGATGGAGAAGGGAGGTCCTAACAAACAATGTCCTTGGGAGTTGGTGTGGTGATTCCAGCACTCCAGGAGCCTGAGGCAGGAGGATTGTAGTTTGTAGTCCAGACTGAGCAACTTAACAATTTAGTGAGACCATGCCTCAAAGTAAAAAAGTAAAAGGGATGGGGATATAACTCAGTAAGAAGGCCCTGGGTTGAAACCCCAGTACTGCTTAAAAAAAAAACAAAAACAAAAAATGCTCTTAGACATCCCAAAGCTGAGCCCCATGCCCACCCAGGTCTGCGGCGTGTGTGGAAACTTCAACGGCAAGAAGGAAGACGAGCTGGTGATGCCGCAAAATGAACCAGCCCAGAGCGAGCACGAGTTCATAGAAAGCTGGAGAGACACGAACATTCCCCCTTCTCCTGGTTGTGACAGCGGGAGCAAGGAAGCCAGACAGCAGGGCACATCTGAGACAGGAAGAGCAGGGGTCCCTTCAGGGATGTGGTTTGAGGAAGGAGGCTTCTGGGCCTCAGGCTGGTGGAACTGACTTGAGGAAGGAGGAATTTCCCTTTCCATGCTTAGAAATGCAGAAGGGAAAAACAAAAGAAAAGAAAAAGAAAGTCTGGTGGGGTGGCCCATGCCTATAATCCTAGCACTCAGGTGGCTGAGGCAGGAGGATCACTGAGTTAGAGGCCAGCCTGGGCTACACAGTATGTTTAAGCCCAGCCTGAATTGCACATGAAACCCTGTCTCAAATAACAATGACAACAGCAACAACAAAAGAAAAAGAAAGAAAGAAAGAGAAGAAAAAGAAAGAAATGCAGGAGGAGCCTGGTCTGGTGATGCATACCTAAATCCCAGCACGCTGGAGGCTGAGACAGGCAGATCATAAATTCAAGTGTAGCCTGGACAACTTTGCGAGACCCTGTCTCAAAATAAAAAATAAACAGCAGGATGTAGCTCTGTACAGAGGCCCTGGAGTTTAATCCCCAGTATGAAAAAAAAGGACATGAGAGAGAGAGGGAGAGAGAGAGAGAGAGAGAGAGAAACTCGGAGGAGACAAGGCCGTATGCAAGGATCTCAGTTTAGACCAGCTTTCCATGAAGATGAGAGGGGCCAGGAGTCCCCAGAGTCTTTCAGGGTCGCTTGGGAGCAGCACACCCTTGTTGTGGGTGGCACAGTAGCTAACCCTACGCTGATCCCCTTTCCCTTCCAGCTGCCATGGGGAGGATGAACAGGCAGAGGAGAATCTGAATGGAAACTGCAGGCCTGAGGACCTCAAAATGGCCCAGGAGCACTGCCAGGAAGTCCTGCAGGCCCCAGTCTGGGCAGAGTGTGCGGCCGGCTTGGCTTTTCAGTCCCTCCTGCTGGGCTGTACCAACAAACTCTGTGAGTTCGGAGGCCTCAGACAGGCCCTGTGTGAGGCCCTGCAGGCCTTCGGGGCTGCCTGCGAAAGCCAGGGTGTCAGGGCCCCACTCTGGAGGAACAGCAGCTTCTGCCGTGAGTGTTGTCCTGTGACCCAAGCCTCCTGAGGCCTGTTCTTCCCACGTCCCTTGAAGCTCCTTCAGTCTCCTTTCAGGCTATCCCCTCCCCTCCTCTCCCCTC